GTGGCTCAGGGAGTTGGGTCCCTGCTGCCCATGTGGGATACCCAGACTAAGTTCCAAGCTCCATCCCAGCCTGGCCAAGCATGGCCAGTGCAAGCATCTGGAAGTGGGAGCACCTGTTGTTCTCTCACTCTCCATATCTTTTAAAAATATTTGTTGGGCCCGGCGCTGTGGCGCAGTGGTTAAGGTCCTCGCCTTGCACGCCCGGGATCCCATATGGGCGCCGGTTCTAATCCCGGAAGCCCCACTTCCCTTCCAGCTCCCTGCCTGTGGCCTGGGAAGGCAGTTGAGGACGGCCCAAAGCTTTGGGACCCTGCACCCGCGTGGGAGACCCAGAAGAGGCTCCTGGCTTCGGATCGGCATAGCATCGGCCATTGCGCTCACTTGGGGAGTGAATCATCGGGCGGAAGATCTTCCTCTCTGTCTCTCCTCTCTGTATATCCGCCTTTCCAATAAAAAAAATAATAAAAATAAATCTTTTTAAAAAATATTTGTTTACTTATTTGAAATACAGAATTAGAAAGAGTGAAGGAAAGATCTTTAATCTGCTGGTTCACTTCCCAAAGCGCCACAGTGACCAGGCTGGGCCAGACCAAAGCCAAAAGCTAAGAATTCCATCCAGGTTTCCCAAATGGGTACAGGGACCACCTCCTGCCGCCTCTCTGGATCAGAGATGGAGCAGACAGGACTCGAAATGGTGCTCATGAGGAAAGCCAGGATGACAGGTGGCAGCTTAGCCCACTTGCCACAGCACCAGTTCCCAGGCCAAAGCTAAAATGCAAGCTTAATGTGTTTGGGAAAAGAAATGACCAGATGGACAACTAGAGACCGGTTTTTAAAATCAAACCGAAGTCTTAGAACTGAAAAAAACATCTCAGTTAAAAGTAAGGATTTGATAAATGAGCTCACAACCACTGACTTGACAAACCAGAGGATCAGAGGGTCAGCAAAGGGAAATTAGGTCAGCAAAAATGCGCAGCCTGAAGCACAGAGACAAAGAAGGAAAACTCAGAACGCGGGACGGGTGCTCGTGGAACATGTTAAAAATATCCAGCACCGCCGGCACTGAGGCACCCTGGGTCAGCGACCACCTGCAACATGGCATCCCAGATAAGGGCCGAGTTTGAATCCAGTTCTGCTTCTGATCCAGCTCCCTGCTTGTGGAAGATGGCCAAAGTCCTTTGTGATCTTCTTCCCATGTGGGAGAACCAGAGGAAGCTCCAGGCCCTGGGCTTCATTCTAGCTAAGCCCTGGCTTTCGCATCCATTTGGGAAACGGACCAGTGGATGGAAGATACCTCTCTCATTCTCGTGGTCTCTCACTCTGCCTTTCACATAAATAATATGATAAATATTTTAAAAAGCCCAAGGGGAAGATGCTGAGTCCTGGAAGGAAGAGAGGAGGTGAGGCAGAAGTGATGAGAAGGAACTGGCTTACAGAGATTTCAAAGCCTGATCACAGTCACCAAACCACCAATGCAAGCAGCTCTCGTAGTTACATGAACATTCCTAAGGGCATCACTGAGAACTACTGGCAAAAAGGAAGGACACATTCTTGGGAGAGGAGCAACACCATGGAGGACCTCATGTTTCCACTGGAGCGGTGGGAGGTGGGTAGGGTGCACTCAAGTGGGCTCAGAGAAGACGGCAGCGACCTGGAGCTCTGACTCTGCAGGAAGTGTCCACTCCCAAGCTCAGGGGGGACAGCTGTGGAGGAGCCCTCGGAAGGGGCCCAGGCCACATGGCATCTCCCTCATAGTGGGATCAGAGCCCCTTTGAAAGGGGCCCTTTCACCTGTGCACATGCCCAGGGAGGCCACTGGATTTGGGAGACAGTGTTCCTCTCTGGGAGGTGCGGGCGGGCCTGGCAGAGGTTATTGTGGGTCGTTCAAACTAGGCTGCAGCTCCCACTGGTTTATGTGAGGGCCTTGTGTGAGCTGGGCATAATCAGGCTGGACTACAACACCCATTGGTTCCAGTGGAAGACAGGGCTGGAAACAGAATTGACCCAGCAGTTGCAACCACCAGCTAATTGGGGCGATGGACTGTTCCGGGCCCTGTACTTGCTAGTACGTACAAGAATTTGGTCTGGGAACACCTCAGACAAAGTGTCTTTCAGGATCTCCCCAATTGAATTGCCGGACTCAGAACCCTAACCATGAAAAGTCAGAGGACAGAACAAGTCAATCAACTACCCCAGCCATATGTTGGCAGTGAAAGACCGGGCAAATAGAGACAATCAGTGGATTCTTCAGTGACCTCATCATGCTTGGAATGGTGAGACTGGCAGCAATTCAGAACTGTTGAACTGTCAAAACCATTTGAGCAGGACCCTCGGAGACCTGGGATGGGTGGGAGACTGGATGGGGCTTCTCCCTTTATCTCCCCTTTTATCCCAGATACATGACAAAAACAATGTGAAAATAATAGTCTTACCCACTTTCCTGTAGCCCTTGAACTTTTTTGCCCTAATTAACTATGTAAAGATTGTCAAAAATAAAGAAAAAAAAAGGTTAAAAAAGGATCTATTTTCATGGAAAATCAGAGTTACAGAGTGAGGGGAGAGAGAAAGAGAGAGAGGAATGGACCATCTGCTGGTTCACTCATCAAATGAAGGCAACAGCCTCAGTTATGAGAGTCCAAAGTCAGGAGCCAGGAGCTTCTTTGAGGCTCCCACAAGGGTGCAAGGTCCCAAGGCTTTGGGTCTTCCTCTACTGCTTTCCTAGACCATAAGTAGGGAGCACCCGGGACACAAATAGGCATCCATATAGGATGCATGCACAGACAGGCAGAGGATTAACCTGTTATGCCACAATAATGGCGTGGGAAACCCAGGTGTTCCATCAAGGATCACTCACACCCATTGGACATCATGAACAAATTCTTTGAAATATTCTAGGTTTCTCAGGGAAGAAAGCCTCAGGCTTCTCCCATGAATCCATAAGCCTGGTCCAAGGACATAGCACAGCTCTCTGAGGGCCTGGGGAAATGAGGAAGGCCCTGGGACCCCAGCTCACCTCCTGGGCTCCAGTGGGACAGACCCAGCTCACCCATCCATTTCTCCAGGAAAGCTTCACAGCCGGAACAACCAAGGCCCCAGGAGGCCAAGATCGAGCCCCAGGCTGCACTCAGAGCGCAGCTGGCAGAGGACATCTGGCCTGTAGGCTCAGACACCTGCTCCCGCAGCAGAAGGCCTGGGCTCACACCACCCAGCGCCAGTTCCAGCTCTCAGACTCTCCCCAAGGTGGCTCCTGAGAGGCAGAGGTCACAGCTCATGGAAATGCGTTCCTGCCACTTGTATGGGGCATGTGGGTTGAGTGTCCAGTTTCTGGCTTGGCTGAAGTCCAACCCTGGCTATTGCAGGTATTAGTATCTCTGCCTCTCATACAAAATTTTTTAAGCCAACAATAGATCTGGGTTAGACCAGTCATTCCACTTAGTGAACTGACGGGCACCAGCTGTGCCCAGCTAGAGGGGCACATGGCAACTCCCTGTCCATTCCACACCTCCCTTCCACGGACCCGGGACCACTCCCTCTTGGGGCCAATGTTTGCTATGCTGGTTCGGATGGCCAGGCTGCCCACACCCTGCAGATGCTCCCTGGCCTTCCAAGGTCCTAAGAAAGTGGCGTCCCTGGGGGACTCTTTCAGCTATCCAATGCTGACCCTGCCCAGGAGGAGCACATGGCCCTGGGCATTAGAAACGGGCCCTCCCATGCCAGGCACCTCAGCCTGCCCACAGCCACTTGCAACATTTAAGGGCAAGTCTCTGTGTTTCTCACGTCATCCTCATGAAACTCACAAGACCTCCGCTTTGCCATCAGAAGGGTAAAACACAAGGTCAGCTCCGGTCAGATGTGCTGAAAGCTCCAGGAAAGCTCCGGGCTCAGTGAGAGGACGCCACACGAACAATCAAGAGAGATGTGGCCAATGGCCCCACAGCACAGGGCCAACGGGAATGGGGCACATACGATGCTGGCCCCTGGCCTCACAAAAGACCCAGGAAACATCCCTTGCAGAGCCTGGAGTGCAGCTCAGAAGCTTCTAGATCGCCAATAGAGAGAGGAAAGCCATCCCCAGGTCAGAGGCAGCTAGGACCCACCAGCCACAGGTCTCCAGGGGGACTTCCCAAAAACAGGGTCCCTCAAAACTGAGCCCCCTTCTGCCTGAGGGGCAGGATCTTCCAACACACCACAGGAGAGGGTCTAGAGCAAACACAACCTCCTGAGTACAAGCCACCATGATTCCCAGAGCAGAAGGGCACCAAGTTTTCAACCTGATGAGTTTGTTTCCCCAAGGGAAATAAACAAGCGACGACAGGGAGCTGGTGGGGGTCATTTCTGGAGAAGTCCAGAGGGCACGTGAGCTGGCTCCAGACTGAATGCTATTTAAAACCTCAAGTCCCAGGAGAATGTGGGGCAGGGTTCTGCCGTGCACAAGGGCAGACAGAGAACGTGAACAGTGCAGTCCCCAGGGGCAGCAAAATGTCCTGCCTAAATGCCCACAACTGGGGTAAGGGGATGAGGAGGGTGTGTGCGCGTGTGTGCGAATGGGGAGTAGCTTCCTGGTGGGGAGCAGGCAGCAAGGCCAGGTTATGCTGCTGCAATGCAGAGGTCCCACCCCCATCTGGGTGCACAGGGGTGGGTGTCCTGCATAAACTTGCCCTGCAGCCAGCAGGAGGGGTAGTGAGCAATGAGGGAGGAGGAGCCCCAGGAACCAGCACAGGAGGCTGCAGGATGCTTGGGCCTTTAAACAGAAGAGCTTTATATTATAGGAGAAAAAAAGAGAAGGAAGGAGAGAATGGAGATTTGGGTCAAGCAGGAGACTCAGCAGTGGGCAGCTGCTGGGTGTGCACACACAGCCTCCGCCCATGGGGCCAGGTTGGGAACCTGGCCAGCAGACAGCAGGCCCCAAGGAGAGCCGAGGGCCGTGGCTCTGGCTCCTGCCCCTGCAGCAGCCCCCAACCCTGAAACTGCAGGTGCAAGGCTGTCCCCCGGAGGGCTCACCTGCTGCTGGCTCTGCTCCTCCAGGTTCATCCTGACCTCCAGCGACTGGCGGGCCTCCAGGAAGGCTTTGCGGTGCTTGCGGTCAGCCATGTAGTAGGACAGGACACCCACGATGATGGCGCACAGGTAGAGGAAGACATTGGCCAGGATCTGCACCCAGGGAGCCGGGAGAGAAGAGGACAGTGGTGAGGGGCAGGCACAGATCACAACCCGCCCAGAAACCGGTGCCTGGAGGAGGCCCACGGCGCCTCTCACCTTGAGGGGACATTTGGGCTCGAGCAGTGGTCCCTGCCCTCTGAACTGTGAACAGCTAAGGTTCTTCCCCTGGCACAGCTTCGATGCAGGCCCCTGCTTCGTGCCCTTCCGAGGCCTGCATCGTCACTCAGATGTGCACATCTCCACTCACTAATGTGCACCCAGCCAGCACCAAGGGTTCACTTCCTGGGTGCTCCTGGGTACTCCTGGGTGCTGTGCTGACTCACTGGGGAGAGGGTGTCCAAACCCAAGTTCCACAAGTCAGGAGTATGCAATCCTAAAAGTCACCAACACCTAGGATATCAGAGGAAACACACAGGCTCACAGCCTGCTGGCATGCTGGGCCCTAGGTACTTCCCTGGGCTGCTGGGACTGTATGCCCACGGCCACCTGGCAAGGGAACCTTGGACACCAACCTAAATGGCCATACCACAGCCAACCCCCCCCCCCCAGCGCCAACTGCTGACAGAGCCCATCACAGCTGCATTAGGTTCCAAGTCCTCCCATTTCCTGATGGCTGGCCTCCCCACACCTCCATGGAACAAAGCCTGTGTCCTGCTGTGGCTCTTCCCCCTCCCCAGGCTGGGTCCTTCCTCCTGGCCTTGGGTCTGCAAAGGGGTGGGACAGATGCCTCTACACAGGGGAGGTCTGGGACTTCAGTCTGCACTTGAGAAGTGGGATGGGAAAGAAAAGCAGAGGTTTCAGACTAAAGATAAAGATAAAGGCTGGCCCAGCAAGGGATGATGGATGCTACACCGTGTGAATACAATGGGCAGGCGCACAATACAGGAAAAGCAATTTTGGATGCTTTAAAATACATATATTTTAAATTTTAGAGGGGGAAGGAGGGAGCAAAGGACGGGACAAACACATCCCCATTCCCTGGCTCACAGCACCCATGGCCACAACTGACTGGCTGGGACCCTAACCAGGAAGGGAACTCACACTGGGTCTCCCATGTACTTGAGCCATCACTACTGCACCCCAGGGGCTGCCCCAGTAGGAAGCTGGAGTCTGAGCCAGGTGTTGAACCCAGGCACCCTGGCATGGAACTACCAGGGTACACCCATTCTGAATTTTCATTGTTTCAACAGACAGTACAGGAGGTGAAGTGTGACATGCGCTTTCTGGTTTTCCTGGTTATGCAGTGCCTTGGACACAGTCTGAGCACCTACCGAGGCACCATGTGAGGAACTGAGAGGGCTTCCTCTGCGGTCAGGCCTCTGGGGAATGCTTAGCTTTAGAGGGAGGCTTCCAGGTGGCGACTCCGTGATAGAAGAGGGAGAACAGCAGCCAATGGCGTGGCATAGCACACCCAGTTGTCACCAACATTCCATCTGGGCACCAGTTCGAGTTCCAGCTGCTCCATTTTCGATCCAGCTCCCTGCTAACAGCCTGGGAAAGGCAGCCAAGATGGCCCTAGTGCTTGGGTCCCTCACTTTCACGGCAGACTTGGATGAGTCTCACCTGCACCCTGGCTATTGCGGGCATCTGAAAAGTGAACCAACAGCCGGAGGATCCCTAACTCTTCCAAATAAACCTTTACCTGTACCTCTGGAACTGGGAGTCATGCAAACCTGTGCTCCAAAGTGGCTTGCATCAACAAGGCGGGTATGCACAGCTGCGGCTTCCCCACAGAGCCTGCAAGTGGCCACAGGCGGGTGCTCAGCAGGGCCACTGCAGCCAGGTGGCCCCAGACCACCTCAGCTCCCTGCATGGCAAGATCAGCAGCAAATGATCCATCAGAACTGCCACCTACTGAGTCACTCCCCAAACACCTGCAATGACCAAGGCTGGGCCAGACCAGGCCCAAACTGGGAATTCAAGCTGAATCTCTTACATGGGTGCCAGGGACTCAACTAGTAGAGTCAGCACCACTGCCTGTCAGGGTCCACGCTGGCAGGAAGCTGAAGTCCAGACTCAGACCTGGTGGAGTCAAAACCACTTCCTCTGATGATGTGTTCACCGCCCGGCTAACTGCCCGCCCCGGCTCTGGACATCTTGAACACCGAGATTAAAACTGTCTCAACAACAAACCCACACGTGGGAGCTGCAACATTAAAAATTTGAAACAAAGATGTGTCCCCTGTGATTTCGTACTGTGTCCACACACATCACTGGTCATCACCTCCAAGCCCTGAAATTGCACAGAATTCCAGCTTTCTATTTTAAAATGTATGTCTTAGGCCCCGGCATGGTAGCCTAGCAGCTGAAGTCCTCGCCTCACACGCGCTGGGGTCCCATATGGGTGCCGGTTCTAATCCTAGTAGCCATGCTTCCTATCCAGCTCCCTGCTTGTGACCTGGGAAAGCTGTCAAGGATAGCCCAAATTCTTGGGACCCTGCACCCGTGTAGGAGACCCGGATGAAGCTCCAGGCTCCTGGTGTTGGATTGGCTCAGCACTGGCCATTGCAGTCGCTTGAGAAGTGAATCAGTGGATAGAGGATCTTCCTCTCTGTCTCTCCTCTTCTTTGTACGTCTGACTTTTCAACAAAAAAAATAATAAATCTTAAGTAATAAAAAATAAAAATTCGAGTCTCACTCAGCCAAATGGAGGTGACCCTCAAAGCATGCTTGAAATAAACGAGCCTCAGTCCTGAAAGATTGGGCTAGCACTGTGCTGTGCTGGGGACCATCACACTGTCCCTGTCCCCACGTCCCACCGGCTAGGGGTCAGGGCCAAGGCCAGGCTGGGGCGCTCCGGGGACGTGATGTCAAGGGAGGCAGAGTAGCTGCCACTCCTCTGCCACAGAACCGCCTCTTGTTACAGTTTAAGAGCCAGGGACCTAGGAGGGAAAAAACCAGCCTCCAGGGAAACCCTGCTCCCCAAGGAGAGTCTGAAATGGGCCTCCCGCGTCACAATGACAAATGGGGTTCTCCCAGGTGTGTGCTGAGCTCTGCTCATCAGGGATTCATTTTCCAGGGCTCCTTCCCCTAGGCAAAGCAGATACTGGGGTGGGAGAGCTTTCCTTGGCAGAGCTCACCCCTTCTTCTGCCCAAGGCTGCCCTCTCTACATCTGCTCCTAAACCGGCCACATCTGGTTCCACATCCACCCCACCGGGTCCCACCATTGGCAGCTGGTTAACCCATCTGCCCCACCAGCCAGTGGTCTGGGAAGATAAACAGTGCTGTCCCCATCACCTCCGAGGGCCCAGGGCCCACCCTACTCACCACCACCCCCATTGCAGCACTGGGTGTTCCAGGAACCCTGAGATGAAAGTAAACAGTATCATGTCCAGACTCACCCCGACCTCATCAGCAGGTGACTTAAACAAGTCTCCCTGTGCTTCCACTCAACACACCCACCCACCTTCAAGGCGACTTGAAGGCTCTGCTGTGTCCCACGGCACCCCCCGGCCAGGCCAGCCTAGAGGGTACAGCTCCCTCTGCTATGCTTTCCCAGCCCAGGGCCCCACAGCCAAGCATGGCACCTGCCCTTCTCCCACTCCTTCTGCGCACTTGTCTCTGTGTGCTAACAGGGCTGGGATGGCCCTTCCCAGCACCCAGGTCTGCAGCAGGTGGGAGGCAGCTGTCTTCGACAGTGAATGGAGGAGGAGGGAAGGCTATGTGCTCATACAGGCACTTCTCCAAGTGCCTGGGAAGGAGCCTTTACAAGGTCTGCAGAAAGTCACTCGGGGTCTGCCTGGAACACAGGCTGGCATCTGGTCTGCTTGCCAGGTTGCACAAGGGCCCTGTCACCTGTTGGGCTGTCAGGCTGTGTGGCTCACACCCCAGGGTCATCGGTCCACAGATGTGATGTGATGGTTCCACAGAGATTTAGTGAACACCCCACCACCACCCCATGCCAGGTGTGTCCTCAGCATTTAGCAGAAAAGTCACTGTTCTCATGACATGCTAGGAGCAACAAGCAAACAAACCATAGGCCCCCTAAGAGTATCTAGCAGAGCTTCACAGAGAATAAAATGGCAGAAAGTGGCAACTGGCCAGCCAGTTGCTTTGTACTGGTTATGATGGAAAGTGTTGGCCCGAGTTTCTCATCCCCCTGTGGGCATACGCTACAGCTACACCCTCACAGTAAGCTCAAGGAGCCCGCTCTCCCCTCCTGCTGCCTGTGAGCATGTTGGGTTGCTTTTGCCAAAAACATGTTAACACCTTCAGCAAGGGCACAATTTAGACATGCACTCGCAAGGCTGGCTTTTCTGCATGTGCTATCCTCACCATAAGCATGACTTGCACCTCCAAATCCAGAACTATAGAACCATGCGAGACCCAGGCAGCAGGCAGAACCTCAGCTGCAGCCTGGAGCCAAATCCAAACCAGCCACATGCCAGTCAACCTATAGACGTACCAACAAGCCAGGTGGGGTGGGAACAGCCAAGTTCTAGCTATTATAGAGCAGGAGGTGAAAACAGTCACCTACCTACCAGTCCATACAGGTGCTGCTTAGGGTAGTCTCCAACGAGCTGTGCAACTTAAACTAGGCAAAGAAGGTCAAAGGCAACCCAGCCACAGGGAACACTAGCAGGAAGAGCACCCAAAGGGAAGAGGAGACGAAGGCCAGGGCCCTGGTGACATGCCCACAGCACAAGGCACACCCTGACCCCAGCACCTGCTGGCTCCCCTCTGCTAAGCACCTGACCACAAGTTGTGTCTCCCACTCTTGGGTAGCTTCAGCTCCCTGCACAGCTCCTGATACACAGCAAAACGTAGTTGTGCATGGTGCCTGGTGCTTAGCCTACTGTCCATATCAGAGTACCGGGGTTCAATACTCTCCTCCACTTTCTCATTTCAGTTTCTTGCTATTGCAGATGCCAGGAGGCACCCAGGGATGGTTCAAGTAACAATTAAGTGCCTACCACCCACATGGCAGACCTGGATCCAGTCTGCAGCTACCGAGTGCAACTGAGAAAACAGGAGTTCCTTCTGCCTGCCT